TGCTGACGTACATCATGGCGGTGTCAAATGATGATTATTTCTGCATGATGGATTAACACGAAATCGTCTGCATCTTTGATCAAACGAAAGAAGGCGCGAAAGTGACGCGATGGGGAAAGATTTCGTGGACGCTCGACTTTTATGTAGAAAACTCCCTTGTTGCTGATCCATCTGAACTATTTTCATTAACGTTGTAAACGATGGCTGATGACTTTATTTCGTGTTAATATTTTGAACCAGTTTACATGATAAATTATTCATTTTGTTTAAGCAAGAAGATATATCGCCATTCAATAAAATTAGAAGATTTGTGTTCTCCGGAAGTCTAGATTTTAAAAGCATAACAATTTCACCTTAAACACGTTTGACATTGGAATCGATGTCGAAGTTCTCTTGAAAAGAAATGTTTTTTCTCATTTTTTTTCAAGGAAATATGGATATAACGAACAGTAATCGAGCTCAAAAGTCTATTGAAACAATACAAATCGGGAGCAGAGCAAATATGGACCTCTAAAACATTAGAGGTGGGATCAGGTGCCATGGAGGAGTAAGCATCCCTTGTCAACCGGTCACATCTGCCGTGTGCTCCTTGTCATGATTGGGCAAACGGAAAAATCCGTTGTCAATTCAGTGTGTAAATAATGGCCTAACAATAAGTATGAAAAAACTTCAGTCAGCATTCGACTTAATGATAGATTGTATTTGCTGACAAGGCCATTGTATCGAGAATAGAACTTGCGAAATATTGACTTTTGACGTTTGGGTCAGTAACTTCTTTGTCAATAGCTTGCCTCGTTTTAGAAATTATTACATAGATCATGCTCTTGACAAACCAACTGGGAGACATAAACTGCATGTGCAAGTGAAAAGGGTATATTGCTACATAAATAAGGGAAGTTGACGATTGAAAAGTTGAAGTCATCACTTTTATCTTAAAGCTTTGTTGTTAGGTTACTATTAACGTCTTTTTCTAGAAAAATATCCAAACATGAAACAAATGTGTCAGACGCTGTGGTATCTTTTACTTCAAATTAATGTCCTAGAAAATCTACTGAATTCCAAACAATGCAAAAAGACTTACATGTACAGGACAAGATCAGTTTATATAATGTGTTTGAAGCTCTGAACAATTCTGATAGAAAATATAATTAACATGATGTGTTTGTGAAACACTGATTCTCCTGTACGGCAGCTCATGTTGAAGGTTAAAGTTTCTCAAATGCAAGTGAAACTCCAAGGTCAAGGCCAAGAGATAAAAAAATATTGGTGCCCAAAGAAATGTCTTGTCACAACGAATACACCTGTGAAATATGAAAGCCCTAGGACCAACTGTTCAAACGTTATGGCTAAGGTCAAGAATTTTCAAATGTAGGTTCAACTCCGAGGTCAAGGAAAAAAGATCAAAACTATTGGTGAAAGGTCTTGTCACAGAGAAATACACATGTGAAATATGAAAGCCCTAGGACCAACCGTTCAAAATTTATTGCCAGGTTTAAATTTTTTTTCAGAAGGAGGTCAAACTCCAGGGTCAAGGTCAAAAAGTCAAAAATATTTGTATCCAAGGAAAGATCTTATTAAAAAGAATACACATGTAAAGTATGAAAGCCCTAGCACCAAGCATTCAAAAGTTATGGTCAAGGCTAAATTCTGATAAAATTTTGCAAAAGTGGTTCAATGTCAAGAGGTATGTTTGTACCCAAAAAGGTCTTGTCACATGTGAAATATGACAGCCATAGCTCCAACAATCAAAAGTTATGAGCATGGTCAAAAAGACGGACAGACAGTCTCGATTACGGGGGCAAAAAAATAATTTTTGCCGATTCTGATATTTTCTTTATTTTCCCGAATTTTAAACAACGGCACTTTTCCAGTTGAAGGTTTTGATTTTATAGATATGAAAGGATTCATTTAATTTTAGCACTATAAAGAACATAAGAGAACATCGAAACTATCTTTCTTTGTGTTCTTTTGCCATGATTTAATGTGATAAATCAACATAAATGTATAAAATACATCTATATTATTAAAGTTGGTTGTTTTGCGGTAGTAAAGCTGGACACATCCAATAATCTCACTGTAACATAGTATGTCGGCTAAGCACACTTGCATTAAATTTGGCAATTTCGTAGTCTTATCTTCATGATTGACCACACAAAGAAATTTTCTTCCCGTGGTAAACTGTGGTCAAGGATTACTTAATAGTCGGTCATAACTTTCGTATGTATTATAATATTACTTGTACTTTTTTTATTATTTGGGGGGGGGGGGGGGGTCATGTTTTTGAAGTGAATTTCAGTGTAGCTTTGGGGAGAATGAAAAATAATAGGGGAATTTCGTAGTAATTATGTGTTTTAGCATAAATAAAACCTGTACAAGATGTTTTACAAATTCTATAACTTTTTAAAGTATCTTTTGTCCTTAAGGACATACGCAACGTAGTTTGAACTTTTATTGTCCTTTTCCCTGGAGTTGAAGAGTTCCAATACTTAAAGGAACTGTGTGCTACATTTTAATGCCTATATATGCTGTTGTACACTTCTTCTAAAACAAGTTTAGATAAACAAAATATCTAAAATATATGTTTAGTAATTTTTGAATATTTTTCTTTGAAGTATATACAAGAATTTTCATCAATTGATATCTTTTCAAAACCCCTGGTAATGCATGCTGATTTTTTGTCTATGCACATCTGATGGCACTATAATCTTAAATTAAGAATATCTTGAAAAATTATCAGTAGGTAAGGTACGTAGCGTATGTCCTTAATTAAATGAGAATATCACTATGTTTACTAAGTCCAGTAAATATAGGCAATGCAATATCTTATACGAAATGCAAATTTCGACAGAAAATCTTTCAATTTGAGATCAAAGAAACATTACCCTTTGTGATGAATTTCCAAGGAGCTGTATTAGAATAGTAACATGTACGTTTATTGGGTGTGAATTTTTTTCATATAATAATTTATTTTGTATATACTCACAGGTTATAAAACTCAATATAATGTATGCTACTATAATGAATATTTTACATACCCGTAAAACATTTCTTCAGGATTTCTTTGACAAGAACAATAAAGGACGCTGCTCAAATGTCTATTATATAGAAAATATTGGGAATTTGATAGCATAAAATAAATGACGGGGCTTCATGTAAGCTTAATGTCCACGTGTATTGAAAAATAAAACCAGAATCTTTAACAAGAATTCATTTGATGGTATCTAATATTGCGTATCGAAATTAGATAATATGTTTTTTCTCTAACAAGTGTTTTATTTTCTGAGATAAATTGTATACACTTCAATAACTTGGACCATTTATTTTGTTCAGTATTCTTGGTTTATCGTTGAAACATAAATCTTCTTTTCACAGGAGCATTTACCATACTGTAAAGTATTGTTTTGGGATGGTGTGAAATTTCTAGTATGGGTAATTTAACCCAAATAATGTGTAAATATTTCATCATTAAGTAGAAATGATAAATTTTGCGTGATATTGTCTTATAAAAATCGTTATTTATCTCCAGTATCAAACGTGCAGTGTATTTTTTCGGGGAAAAATATACATAGGATACCCATCAAAGAATTGAAATGAGACTTGTATTGAATAATAAATGCATGGTTAACTCGATAGTTGTTTGAAAGAAGTGTCTTATTTATTACAACAGCTAGGTACTCCTAAGTTGTAGCATCATACGTTATTTCACAAGCTTGTATCTTGATAAACATTTGATGAAAGTCTTAAAGACTTAAAGACGTACGTATCCAATACCAATATTTTACTTTTTAAAAATCCTTACTTGTCCCTGGTAACATGTCATGTAATGTGTGGATCTCTCTCGTTTTCCAAAATAACTCCTACATATATGATCTGCATTTGTCAGTTTACTGCTCGGGATAAATCTAAAGTCAGTGGTTATATCCATATCCAAATCTAACGACTACAAATTGACTAAAGACTGATAATACACATTTTAGTTATTACCTCTTTATAACGTAAATATAACGTTAATATATGATACCAGGGATATCGAGCTCTTTTGTCAGGTTATTCACTTTTTCGATTACCGTTAGATTTGGATTCATTGCTTTTTAGGTCTAGATCTGTCGTATATACTTACTATTCATTTGAACGTATTAATTATTGTTCTTTTTAGCTTCAACAGGATTTATCATTACTATAGTGCTTCGTGGTTGAGCACAGAATTAAGTACTAAACTAAGTATTTAATTAGTTGTTTGAAGCAATATTTACTTGTGTTACCTGCAATATTCTGTCATTAAACCTGAATCAAATATTGTGAATTAATTTGTCTGGGTCATATTGACCAGTGAGTGCAAAACATGATATATTACGAAATGTTGATTGCGCATTTTAGCGCTCGATCTGTCTCTGTTGGACCATCAAATCTTTACATGGCACAGTAGTAAAATCTAAAGAATTCTGTCGCCGAAATTCTGCAGAAAAAGCAATATTTTCTCAATAAAGTGAAATCTAAATTGAAATACACCAAATGGATCGCAACATTCATCAAGCATATTTACATAAATCATGACGTAAGCGTTTATGTGAGTTGATGAGCCATGTGTCTAAATGTGTGTGTGATGCTTTAAGTCGCCCGATCATGTCAATAAAAGTGATGGATTTTCGTCAGAGAGTGTTCGAGATAAACAATCTACAATGACTGATCCCTACAATGTGCTTCAAATTGTGTATAAAAGACGAAACGAAAAACGTCCTTTTATTCTTTTTATCATTGTTGTATCGACATTTCCTGGGTAAAATATGACTAACCGATCATTTGATGACATAACTAATTGGCCAGACGTAATAAATTCCGTTATTTTCTTGTTTGGAGTCTCTCGTTTTCAATATTTTATTGTTATCAATGAAGTGTCTACTTAACTTTTATTGCCATCTTTCACATTTTTCAGATATCTACCAAGAGGCTTAAGGATATGTGGCCACATGCTTCTGAGCATCTATCTATCAATGCTCTTCCATGTCCAGTAACGATGACCGAGTAAAGATAATCTATAACATATATTAAAGCTCAAAGCAATCTTTGGTTTAACTGCTCATAAATCAGTCCGCTTAATTGGAGTGTTCTATAAGTATGCCCCCTTGTCGTGGAATGGTTACAGTTTGCTATTCTATTCTTCAATGTCGGAGGAAAATCAAAGGCTATTCTAAAATAAGTATTGAAAGTTGGAAACTGCCAGAAGAAACAGTGATTGTCATTGGAGGGTTATTAAAATAGGTTCGTTATCGGTATGAGGGGAGAACAGCCATCGATCATCCGAAGAAAGGAATTAGAATAAAGCAGCAGTCATTATTGCAATAAATGCTTAATTGAAAATGAAAATTATCATCGGAAAGGTCTGGGTGTCTGTATAGTGTATACATTCAGCATGTGGGATTAAACTTCCAGCATGTTTAGACTGTAGTGTAACTGTGTTCATTGAGAGTATCCCTGTTGAACTATGGCCGGGAGTAGTGATGAAAAAGAGCAAAAACTCTCAACAGATGAAGAACGGGACGAAGAAGATGAACATTCAGACGAAATAACTGACGATGTGATTTCTGTAAAATTTAACAACGGAGGACAACATAGAATTGGTGGGGAAGCAATAAGCGTCGTTGTTTGTGACGAAAATACAAACTGCGAGGAAGAAAAAAGGCATCGGAGATGTTGTTTTTGTTGTCTTAACTGCCACTGTAGGTGTAAAAGACAACAAGATGAAAACAAATTGTCCAAAAATGACAATAAAACTGAAAAACAGACCTCTCAAGTCCGAAACATGTCCAAAAGTGAGCGAAGAAAAGAACGGTGTTGGATATGTTGTAAAAAGTTTACAGCATTTCTCTTTTCCCATATTGGACTTTGTGGACTCGCCATAGCATATTCTATCATGGGTGGTTTCGTTTTCATGTCTTTAGAAGCAAGTCATGAAATAATGGAGCGAGGAAGTGTAGATATGAGGAGGAAATCTCAGGTAGAGAAGCTGTGGAATATTACCAATTTCAATTTGATTCTCGGAAAGAAAAACTGGACCTATGAAGTGGACAAAGTGTTGAGAGATTTCCAAACGGATATATACGAGGCCACCAAATTACGAGGGTGGGATGGCCAAGGCGAAGATGCAGACGCTCAATGGTCGTTCGCCAATTCTCTACTTTATTCCATCACTGTTATAACGACTATAGGTAAGCTATAATCAGTTTATATACAGCTTTTTTAAATTTTATTTTAAAAAGGTAAATTTTGATCTTTAAAATTTATTGACACAAAAATTTTGATAATAGCATTTATAAATTATGAATAAAAGTTTCATTCAGAAATTCGCACAATATACAATGCACCTTTCTCTAAGCCCTTTAGATTTTCTTCCAGAAAACACGATTTTATCGAATGTCAAAAGATCATATGGTTTTTTTCAAAGATGCTTTGATTTCCTATAATGAATTTGCAAGAAGCCTTTTTAAAAATGGAAAAAAAACGTCCGAGGAAATTGACACGCCTAATTTTCTAGTTCACACAAGAAGATATCAGTCTGATAAAAATCAGCCGTGTTTACATAAGAATATGATAAGTATGTATACCCTTGATTTTATTATCTTAAAGATTTCCACAGTATAAGATCAAATTTGATTGCTACATAGTATGGGGAAAAACTGAAGCGCAATCTGCTCGGTAAAAATCAAATGGATGGCCTAGCTTTAGATAAAACCTAAGCACAACCTTTGGTCTAGGAAAATTCCACCCGCAAGCTTTCTGTATGAAAAATGAGCGACAATTGACAAGTTTGCAATTAGCAGATAATTATCGCCCACCGGCCTCTTCAGCTCTAGATCTATGAACTCCGTCAAACTAACAACACTTTTACATAGGAATTCTGTTCGCAAACTTTTGGAAAAGTTTTTTTTGATCATCAATTTCCCATTTAATTTTAAATACTCAATTCAAAACACATTACATCGGTAGAGTTTAATTTTTCCCATTTAAAATTAAAGCTCACACTCTACAAAACGAGTCATGATCAATTAGAAAATTAATTTAATAAGTAGAGAACTTTTTTTCTTGGTCCAATTCACAAATACGGGTGGAGGTAATAAAGTTAAACTTAATTTACAAAAAAAACTTCAAAACTAAAAGCAGTTTACATAATGTACGCGTATAATTTGTTTTTAGCCTAGTTCGTCTGACTTATTTAAGAGCTTAAACATGTTAAATGCCTTTCCACGTCGATTGAAATGCACATCAATGAAGATTTACTGTGTCAATATTGAATTTTGCCAAGGAACACAGAAGTATGATGTCCTTAATTCCCAACAGTTAGTTTTAGGAACCCAAGTTAACTTTGCGTACGCATTTTGTTAAATACACTGTATGTGATTGTTTTTTGGGGGGGTTTTTGTTCGTTTGTTTCTTTTCTTTTTTTTTTTTCTTTTTTTGTTTTGTTTTGGTTTTTTTTTTGGTTAAACTCAACCGATTTTTACTATTTCATAGTTAAAAAAAATACTTGTAAAGCAAGTTAAGAATCAACCAATTACATTAATGTATACTCTTGTATGTAAGGATTTAGAAATATTTTCCATAAATCTTTTCATATTTTATTTAAATATTTTTTTGTGTATATGGCATATCCACCATTTATCTTAACCGTATATATGCTTTTCATTCAACTTCATTTGTATGTTTGTTTTAGAGCAGCTTTACTATAGAATCCAAATCTCATTTCTGAAATTGCAGTGACATACTAGTAATAGAAATGCTCTTGTTCGTTATCATTTCATCACGCTTCACCCTTTTCGTTAATCTTATTTTTACCTTTTTCGATAAACCTCTCAATTTCGGGAAACTCATGAAATGTTGGAGCTCATGAATTATTGCTCCGTGGAATTCTGACATTGAGTTTCGAACAGGAAAAATCTCTTTCAGTCTCCCAATGTAATAAACGTTAAATGACCAAAAAAATAGCATGCAATATTCAGATTTTAATAAGCAGCTCTATAACATGTGTTTTCTTCATAGAACAATGCTTTTCAAAGAGTTTGTTCACTTTCCACACTTCATATTGGCTTTGATGAATTATACCTCTCTCTTCATGATATGATGTTCCTTCTCCTCCATCCCAGTTCTTCATGTGTGGGTTAGAAATATGTATTATACAATCTATATAGGAAATCCGGCTTAATTGTAAGACTCTGAGCCCGATAAAATGTAGGATATTGAAATAATTTATTATATACGTATTTGTTATATCGGCCGTCGGACTGATATTGGAGTCTCGGGTTGATATGGGGTGTGATACAGATTTTGCCATGTTTTATACTATAAATGTATTATACAATCTGAGGCCATGTATCAAGAGACCTAGTCAACTAATACCGGTGTTGTAGAGTAGAATTTCCCCATAGCCAGCTTTCCCCCTGAAATTTGCACTCTAGAGAAGGATTTCCGCCGAGGGGAAATCTCACAATAGAGCCAAATTTCCCCTATTTCTTTCTCAGAGTAGGATTTCCCTTCTTTTATCAATGCTTAAATCATATCGAAAATATTTTGGCTTAAAGTTTATACGAAAGTCAACTGATTTTTTAATGGAAATATGAGTGTTTTCTACTCAAGAATTGTCAAATTTATTATGAAATTTTAAATCAATGAGTCTCAAGCAAGAATTTTAATTCATAGGAAATTGTTAAATTAGTCCTCAAAAATCGTGTGACTTGATGTCTCAACACCTTATCTCGGCGCCTGTTTGTTCACGAAATTTAAAATGTATATCAGGCCATCTTTAGTGATTTGATAATTTGTCCTCAAAAAGGCTCATTGTTTTATCTAAGGTTCGATCCTTTTTACAAAGAATGTGTGAGAAAATTCTAAAATTTGTTATCAAAGGTTCCATATACTATTTAAGATTTAAATTTTGAATTTTTCATACTTCTTATGTTTCAATGAAACTGGTCGCCATTTGAAGAAGGGACACTTGTAACTTTCCCCCTCAGGCATAAGTACAGCCATGAATTTTTATTATGGAGAAATTGGCTATGGGGATATCGCACTCTATAACTATAACGCAGAGTAGGATTTCCCCCCGGAAAATCGAATCTGATGTGGGATTTCCGTGGGGGAAATCCTACTCTAGAGTCATTTTTCTGTGGGTGAAATCCTACTCAAGAGCCTATTTTCCGGGGGGGGGGGGGGATTCTACTCTAAAGCCAGTTTTCGGGGATGGAAAGATTTTAGGGAGGAAAGCTTACTCTACAAGACCGGTACAACGGTGAGAAGGCCTGTTGCGCATCACAAATAAGACCACATTTAAGAAATTTTGAAGGGGAAACAGCAGTACACTAAAACCATAAAATTGATGAATATTCAAGACATGATTGACAGAAAATTTACAGATTGTGAAATTTGAAATAGAATACTAGTAAATCAATAAATTATTTTATTGCATTTCTTTTTGAATTGTACATACATTCCTGGTCATGCTATATTGCATTTTTTTATACATGTATTTCGTTCTTTTTTTCAAAACGATGAAATCAAATTATCACATGTTTTTGTTTTAAGGCTATGGACATATTGCACCAAAGACAGACATGGGAAAATTTATCACGATAGTCTACGCTTTGGTTGGTATACCAATCACACTGCTTTGTTTGACAAATTTGGGAGGATTTCTGGGAAACTGCTTCCGGTGGTTCTACAAACATGTCTGCTTATTGACAATATGGTTGTGCTGTCCTTCACAGGCAAAATGGTCATCCGAGAGAAAGCGGGACAGAGATATGAATAAGACCTTAGACAAGACCCACCAAACAAAGACACTGACCAAACGAAAGTGGTCACAGGACAGCATGGAGAAAGGTCAGCTGATCGGAAATAATGACGTCATCGAGATGGTTGTGAATGAAAAAGTTCCCAAGGAGCAGGTGCGCGTTCCGATTTTTGTCAGTCTAATGCTGATTGCACTGTACATCTTCGGCGGTGCCATTTTGTTTTCTGAGTGGGAAAATTGGCCATGGCTGGATGGCGCTTATTTCTGCTTTATTACATTGAGTACGATAGGGTTTGGAGATCTAGTTCCTGGAATGAGATCTGATTCACCGGCAAACCAAGAAAAACTTATTTTGTGTTCATTTTATCTCATATTTGGACTTGCTATCATCGCTATGTGTTTTGACTTGATGCAAGAAGAGGTCCGAGCGAAATGCAGATGGTTAGGCCAAAAACTTGGTCTTATTGAAACAGAAGATTAATTCCAAAATACGTATAGAAATATGGATTTATGAGTGATTCTAAATTCATTGCTTACTCTCACGTAAAAACTTTTAGACTGGATACTTACATTATTTATTTAATCTTGCAACTCAAAGCATTTGTCACTTTGAATGTCAGTACAACGTGAATGATTCTTAATAACGTAAAGGAAAAAATGGGGGTTACTCGATACTTGTAATTTTAGAATATGGAAATATTTTGACTGTGTAGCAAACATTCATAGACATTAGAAACTCTGTACAATGGTTTTCCAATGTAGTTTTCAATATGACAAACCTTTTTTCGCTTTAAAGAATGCACGTGTAATATTGTTTCTGATTTGTAACCTGAAGTTTCCAGACTATTGCTGTTGCGAACAAGGATTAGATTGTAAGAAATAGATCAAATCCTGGAAAACAATTTAGGAAAGAAGCTTTGATAAACATTTTAAAGTTGCTGTCAACTTCAGGCACGTATAGTATTCGGGGGGGGGGGGGGGGCTGAACCCTCACTTTTTTCTGAACATAATCTTTTATACTGTTAAAATTCGGTATGAAAATGTTTATTGACCCCTCCCCTTTTTTATTGCAACATAGTTAAATTCGTCCATGCTGATATATTCCATTTTTTGTCTGTCAAAGATTTTTTGGGTAGGTTGTAAGTTGTCATTAATTTTTTCTGGCTGAAACCCTCCCCCCCCCCTTTTTTTCAAAAACAATGCTACGTGCCTGTGCAGTTTTTGGCAATGGGCCCGTCCTTCCGTCTGTACGTCCCTGCCACTTTGGGATACCCATCTCTTATCCGCAACTCCTCCTATACCACTGAATAGACATTTATGAGACTTTGTGGAATCTTTATTAAACAGTGTCATCGTGCGCCTCCTATTTCACGTTTCGATAGGACACATATTAATATTTGGGGATTCTTATAACAAAACATGGACACTGTCATCCTTTATGGGGGTACCCATCTCTTTTCTGCAACTTCTCGTGTACCACTGAATAAAATCTTGTGAGATTTTCACAGAATTTTTATTACATATTTTATGATCTGATCAGACAGATATTTGGGGTTTGCAATAGCAAATATGGACGTTACCATTATAGTTATATGGGAGCAGGGCCGGGGATATCATTTTGTGAGCTCAGTGCTCACAGTATCTCTTGTTTTGTATATGAATATTTGAATAAAAAAAAATAGGATGGGCGGGACATCTACATGTAAAATAGCTGACAAGAATTCAAATTTGTTTAGAGATTGTTTCCATTTACAAAATTACTTAGTATACGAAAAAAAAATTCTGTCGTAATTTTTAATAACGAAGAATTTTGTGATAACCAATTGAGATTAGGATTCAGTTCTCATTTTTTATGAGATCCACATCGTTATCGTCATTACCTTTGTCAAATGATACACTTTTATGTGTGAAAGAAAGGAACATAGGTACATGTATTTATATTTCTCCTAATATTGTGCATGCTGACAATTAAGACTCCATGCTTTTGTGTCATTAATAAGCAGCTATTCCACATGTACAGACAGTGATTTTTGCTTTCGAATTGATTTTCTATAGCATTTAAACTAATAAAAACATCACTGTAACTATTTATAAAATTAATTTATTGGTGATAACCGTTATTGTATCTTACATTACATGTCGAGACGCCAAGCTCTTTATAAGTTTACTAGTCTTGTCTAAAATAAGAATGTATACTGGATGGAATGTATGTGATTTTTTTTGTATCTTGAGATTAATGTTAAACATATGTTTCACTTCATTAATTAAAGTCATTTAAAAAGCAATTAATTCATGGCTTCTGTTTGTGAAGACTTAAGGGGTAATTTCCATTTTCTATCGAACTGGAGAGAGAGAAACTATTGCAGGTATTTTATTAGCTGTTTCAACATTGTCAAACATGAAAATGTCAATCAACAAGTTTCAGATCATACATTTTATCAAATATTTACAAGTTCATCTGAACTAAAGACTCTTGAGCTTTTATTATCGGATAGTGCCCGGCGTTCCCTCCCCCACTTTTTGTTGCAGTATGGTCGAACTCTGTCAAAATCTGGTAAAAAGAGCAAATTTACCGAAAAGTTCGAAAAAGATCCTAACCCCGCCCCCTCCTCCAGAAATAGGATTTTAGTTTTGGCAATTTTTTTTATGCTCCCCCCCCCCCGGGTTTAAACCGTTGCTACCAGGGGGTTCACAAGTATCAGGCAAATGTTTATATGTGCCGTTTATCATGTTTATTAATAACTCAAAGTCGATCGTGGAAGAGGACACACAGGCACCTGATGTTTATATATACAACCCCTGGAAAATTAATGGATATTGCTGATATACACTTTGAAGTAGACATTTTTTAGTTTCTTTTATCACTTTTGAATTCTGTCGCTTGATTGAAAAATCGACCATTCCAATAAGCATTAGGCAAATGAGTACCAATGATTTTCTATCAAAGATAAAAGCAAAAACTTACCCTCATAGTTTTCGAATAGTGATGGAAAATGATGCAGATTGGAAAGTGGTGTGAAATTGTATGTTTTTAGAGTATTTAATGACGATATTTATTGTTTATAAATCGGAAGTGGAAAAAAAGGGCTTTAGATCACAAGTTCATCGTGAGAAGAGACCCTTGGTAAATGCAGATATGGCCTGGTGAAAAAGGAAGATGTACATGTAATTCCTTTCTTTTGAGATACATGTAAATTCCTGATCAAAATCCAACTGAATGCCTCATATATGTCACAAGATAAACGAATTTTTAGTAATCCTATTAGAAGAAAAATAAGATTTCGCTTAGTTCTTAAGATTCCTCGATCTTGTTTATTCATTACCCCAAATCATCGACGACTAATAAATATTTTAATCATTTTTATTGAAAATATCAGGTAAACAAGTGAAAAGCAATTCTTTGATATAAAAATCAGAATCAATGTTCAATAAGAGCGAATATTTGCGCAAATAAATGAATAATTCATAAATTAAATAGGTAAAAAAAAAAAAAAAAAAAGGTCGATTTGACGAGTACTGCCGAAAAATAAGTGGACAAATTATGAATTTTCAAATTCTTTTCATATAGATTAAAAAAATGAATTACACGAAAGAGAAATACACCCAGTTCACATAAAAGACGAAGGCATGCACATTTCAATTCATGATCAAAATTGTATGTATTTACACTAGTTCACAAAACATTTATATAAATGTTTAGATATGGTGATTGTTGGTGATTGTCTCTTTATACATGTAGTCATTTTCTTGTTTGCCCCTTGTGGATCCATTATTTTAAAGAAATAAACATTTTGTACAGGTAAAAAAAAAACTAAACGAACAAGACTAGTATGCTGGGGGATATATACAGTATATGGCCATAAGTGAGTTATCATTTTATTTTTTTTTTAAATATTTATTTCAATGAAAAACCCATTTTGATATTTAAAACAAGATGTGTTTGTGAAACACTGATGCCCCCGTATGGCAACTTATTGCAAAGGTTAAACTTTCTCAAATGCAAATCAAATATGCTGGTACCCAAAGTAAGGTCTTGTCTCGAGGAATATACCTGTGAAATATGAAAGCCCTAGTAGCAAACATTGAATAGATATGGAAAAGGTTAAAATAATTTAAACATGAAGGTCAAGGTCAAATGATCAAAATAAATGTTGCCTAAGGAAAGGCCTTCTCACAAGAAATATACAGGTGAAATATGAAAGCTGAAGCACCAATCGTTCAAAAGTAATGACCAAGGTTAAAATGTTTCAAAAGTAGGTCAAACTCCAAGGTCAAGGTCAATGGATTACAATTGTTGGTATCCAAAGGAAGGTCTTGTCACATGAAAAAAACATGTTAAATATGAAAGCCCTAACAACTTTTCAAAAGTTGTGTCCAAGGTTAAAGTTTTTGAAAAGTAGGTCAAAGTCCAAGGTCAAGGTCAAAGGGTCAAAGTTGTTGGTATCCAAAGGAGGGTCATGTCACAAGGATCATATGTGAAGTATGAAAGCCTTAGCATCAGTGATTCAAAAGTTATGGCCAAGGTTAAAGTTTTTCAAAAGTAGGTCAAACTCCAAGGTCAAGGTCAAAGGGTCCAAGTTGTTGGTATTCAAAGGAAGGTCTTGTCACAAGGATTACATATGTGAAGTATGAAAGCTTTAGCACCAACCGTTCAAAAGTTATGGCCAATGTTAAAGTTTTTCAAAAGTAGGTCAAACTCCAAGGTCAAGGTCAAAAGGTCAAATATGGTGGTACACCAAAGAAAGATCTTGTCAAAAGGAATGCACATATGAAGTATGAAAGCCCTAGGTAGTACCAATCGTTCAAAAGTTATGGCCAAGGTTAAGTTGGGAAAAATTTTGCAAAACTGGGTCAAACTCCAAGGTCAAGGTCAAATATGGTGGTACGCAAAGAAAGGTCTTGTCACAAGGAATACACATGTGAAAAATGAAAGCCATAGCTTCAACCAATCAAAAGTTATGGGCAATGTTTAAGTTTTTGCGGACAAACAGACAGACAGACAGACGGACGGACAGGGCAAAAACTATATACCCCCAAATCTTCGATACGGGGGCAAAAAAATATTGTGAAGTTAATTTTGGCCCAATTTCCTTATTTTTTTTTTTCACTTAATAATGCAAATTTGTTCATATTTTCTTTTCCTGAGATGCTTAGCAAAATGCTATAGATCTATCATTGAGAATAAATCATGAAAACTTCGTGTAAAAAAACGATAATTTCTTTACAAAGTGCTTTTCATTTCGCAGCACTTGAAGTGTGATATCATCGCAACACTAAATGGATAAAATTATCACGAATATGTCCAAATTATGTTAAGAAGCTACAAACAATTTTTCCATTTATGACATTATTATATTTATATTTAAGAGAAAAAAATAGCAATATTTTTGACAACGTTGTAATATTTACGGCTCTTCTTGTGGCTGTCAATGTAATCGTCGTAAGCCACGGGTATCTGTGGAAATAAAATAAAAACAAAAAAAAAAACTCTTTGCGTGCGTCGATTTTATGGATGTTTTATCTAAAACTGTTTTGCTCAAATACAAGCAGTTATCCATTCTTATTATTGTATCTTGATTTTTTTGTATTTATACAGACATAAAAGTGCACAAAATACCGAAAACACAGAAATCTGAGAAAGGGGTCTTATCCGAATGAGTTTGGAACTCGTTTAGCAAATACCCGTCACGCCGGAAGTCTATATCATGTCAACAAATCTAACACGTCAGGATGAGGCTTGTCCATAGTATTCCTCAATAAAACTGGCACATAATGGTTTGTTTTTACCCGTAGAAATGAAAAATAAGGTTCAAGAGAATAAAAGTGAAATTAAAAATTATGTAGCTAAATCAGGAATTATCAAAAGAAGAAGAATGGCCCTTCAGGCCTTGTACAGTTGTAGTGTAAGGTATCACATTAATGATCGTGGTTCTCGGCTCATTCACATACTGCATAACCTGTTAAGTCATTGTAAGTTTTGACATTTATGTTCATTCAGTGAGTTTAAGATACCCTTTCAACATCAATCGGTTCAATGTATTCATGTGAATTTCACAATAACTGAACAGGTTGGGACCAATCGCCTAAATGGGATATAATAGCCCGTTTGGGATATAATATCCCAAATGGGATATAAATTTACAGTGCAAAAAATGAAAATTTTTATTTTGGCTATAAATATCATAAATCCGCATCAGAATTTTTAAAAAGGAATAACTTTTGGCATACAAGTTTTTCTGCAACCCTACAGTTTGTTAGATTGATCCCCAAGAAGTTTAGGAACTTCCGAGGGATCAATCTCATAAACAGTGGGCAATCAGAAAAACTTGTAAACCAAAAGTTATTCCTTTATAAGTATGTTGATGCGGATTTATGATATTTATAGCCAAAATAAAAATTTTCATCTTTTGCACTGTAAATTTATATCCCATTTGGGATATTATATCCCAAACAGGCTATTATATCCCATTTGGGCGATTGGTCCCAACCTGCTGAAGTCACAGGAGTAATAGTACAGATATATTTGGAAGTGAAGTCCCTTCCCTCAATTTTTATTTTACTTCATAGCCACTAAGAAACAGTGTCATATATAATTTGTTTACATAATTTTGAGTATTGATGTGATAACTTTAGATGATCTTTCCCTTTCCCCTTTAGTTGTGGATGGATTTGTTGACAGGGGAAGACAGATCTCATCTTAGATGGAGCCTTTTGATCTTAAACTCCATCAAGTAACCTATGAAATAGGTTCTGATTCACCTGATGAAGTGGACTCCTTTAGCACTGTTGTTGCCTATGACTCCCAATTTGCTCAAGTAGATACAGTACCAACAACCTGTTCCACACCTTTAACCTTCACAGCAGCCACTGAAAACCAAGGTAAATATCAAGAACAGAATGAGATTGAAACAGAGAAAATATGGGTTTTTCCTAGTTACCGTAAATAATTTTTGCAAAAGATTATATTTGTAGATTTGATAATTTTGTATATTAATTGGAGATCAATTGATGATACACTAATTGTAATGTAACTAAAAGATGTACTCATTTTAGTATAAATTTGTAGCAAGATCCATGCTTTATCTGCTGTGACTTGGTGAAAGCATAGGGTAAACTGTGTGTGTCATCTAATATAATTCATGTTTCTATATATCTATTGTTTCCATTATCTAGAAGAATTAACTATCAATAGGACTAGCAAAATAATCTTTTGCATTATGTACATGTATTAAGATATATGATTTAGGATAAGTTTTACTTAGATGCTATCTTTAGTTTTAAAAATTGTAGAATAATTTGAAAATCTGACAGTAACTTTTCTATTTATCATAATTTTTTCAATTAAATTCTGTTTTTATGTACATGTACTAACATAAAACGCACTGGGAAAGGTGTGCGAGTACAACATATGTACAATCTCCTGTTTATGTCAAAAACAATCTCATACATATTTAAGTAATCACAATGCAAACTAATAGTGCTGCTTTTTGGTATTGCTTCAGTGTTAATCATAAACTAGAAATTTTGGATGAATTTAACATCAGTAACTGTTTTAAATGTAATTTAGATCTGTAAACTTAATTTTTTTTTTGTGCATACATTTCCTGTAAAATTATATATATCATATATATATATATATATAATTTGTTTCTTTATGCAGCAAAACCAAGGAAACTAAGAAAACTTCCTCAAAGAATCCCCCAACCTAGTCGCCTAAAGTCTACACAAATCTACTCCAAATCTGTTTCCTCCATTCCTTCTCCTAAGGGTCATTTGGATTCCTCTGGATCTGGATCTTACTATCCTCCTCAAGAAGCACTGATCAATCCAAATCACAATTTCATTGAATCACAAAGCTTCTTTACTCGCCGTGAATCTGTTCACATTTCACAAACAGATATACGCACACTTTTTCAGGTGATGATGTGTCTATTTTGCTGATTTCTATTATATACTTTGTTTGCTAGTGGGCATGAGAATTTGATGTATACGTTAACTTTATACAGCTACATATATATTAAAGGATTAAGAACAATGAATTGATTTTATCTGATTTTATTTGTAATGGTTTTCAAATATTTGTTGAAGCAAAAACTAAAGAATCATGATCATTTGACATAACAGGTTACCTCCAACAGTACCTCTGCCAAGAAATTTCCACGACGACCAGTCATGTCCGAAAAGCCAATTCCAGACAAAGTTGATGGAACTTTAGCATTTCAAACAATGGCTGATGCTCTTCATCTACAGAAATCAGTCATTGGTAAGAAAACAACTATTAGGATAGATTTGTTTGATGAGAAGGAAAATGAAGATTAAGTAATAGTCATGGTTTAAATGTGTAAAGGAAATAATTATGCGAATATTATGAATAAAACTGTCCATACATCTTTTATATGTGTTTTTAGGGGAGAAGAAAATTACACCAGCATCACCTGATGAAGTTGCTCGTATCATAGCCGAGACTCAAAAGAAATTGAGCCAACCAGTTACAGAAACCAGTGGAGCTTCACCATTGGTTCCTATGGCATCCCCAGAGGAAATAGCAAAAGCCATAGCTGAAACCCAGAGAAAGATGCAAAGCCAGGCCACAACTACTGGTAGTTCTCTACCGAATGAAGTTACAGTTCCCATTGCAACCCCTGAAGAGATCAGTAGAGTGATTGCAGAAACCCAGAGAAAAATGCAAAAGCAGTCATCTAATGAATCTTCTGTTAAGGTTATTTAAATACATGTGTAGAATTAGCACACTGTAAGTTTGTAACAACAATTGAATTACAGAAATTCTTCACTCAAAGGAATATTGATCATATTAAGACATTCATTATGAAAACCTGTGAGAAATTTGGATAAATTCTATACAAAAAATTTAACATATCATTCAGGATTTTTTTTTCATTGTAGAATACAGATTTCTCTTCAGAAAGTCCAGTGGAGAACTCTGACCACAAGAGTGTTCATACACCACCTCACATGCAGGATATACCAGGGAGGGACCTGGTCAGAATCCCTGCATCTAGTCTTCAAACCTCAACACAGAAATCCATGTCATGGTTGAAGGGAGATCACCCAGCTAGTGAAACGGAGTTATCTGCCCATGACTTAAATAAATCTGAGAGTGTGGTTAGTGAAGCAACTGCCAGCGACACAGCTTCCGTTGCCTCCACAGACTCATTTTCACATTCTGACATGGATAAATTTCTAAGTACATTACCTCCATCTAAAACTATTGATATCAGTGATGTTATTCCGAAAACCACTAGTAATTATTCTGCTTTCATACCAGCAAAAAGAGACTCCTCATTTAAACCACTGCTTGATCAGTTCATATCAATAAAAGATTTGGAAAATAAGAAGCTAAAAGTAGACAACCAACCAAACTCAGTTCCACATATGGCTGACTCAGGAATAAGTGTTGATTTTGAGAGTTCTAAGCCACAAATGTTGTCTCCAGAGCGGTCAAGTACACCCAAATCGTTTTTACCCAAACACACAGAAGCATCACACAGCCATTCAGCAACACTGAAAAGTATCCCTTCAAGTAGTGTTTCCTCTGAAATTCAGTTTGATTCAGCACAAAAGTTAAATGAAGCACTGAGAGAAAAGGCTAAATTGGAAGGCCAGTTAGAAATGTTAACGTATGAGGCAAACACTTCACTAAAAGAAAGAACAGAACTACAGTCCCAGATTGCAACATTAAAGCAGAAATTGAAATCCCAGAGAGACCAAGCAAATGATGCTGAAAAAGTGGCCTTGAAGTCAGAGGTAGAAAAAATGCAACGAAATCGCATGGTGCTGGAGAAATCATTGGTTTCTGCTCAGAAAATTTTAGAGGAGAAACTAGCAGAGGTGAAGGTCATAGAGGCAGATCTACAGCTTACCCAGGAGGAAAATGGCAAGCTACAAATCCGTCTGAAAGAGATTAGGGATGACACAAGAACAAAAGATATGACAATCCAAGCTCTTAAGAATAAGATAGCAGAACTGTATGTTGAGGTTCAGACTCATATGCAGGCCAAGATAGATGCTGATAATGAGCACAGGACAGCTAAAACAGATGTCTCATCATTAATCAGTGCTAAACAGTGGTATCAGCAACAGCTTAGGCTCGCAAATGACAGCAAGCTACAGTTGCAGCAAGAACTGACTACACTTCAGGCCCAAGCTCTATCTCAAGGTAGCATCATAGAGAGAATGAAGACAGAGAGTGCCAGACTCAGGCACCAGATGAAGGAAATCCAACAGAAGGCTTTGAAGGACAAAGAGCAGCTAGCCAGGCATCTAGAGAGAATTCAGAAGGATATGATGGATAGAGAAGTAGCATTTCAGGAAGTTCAAAGGGAGAGGACTCTCCTCGAAGGAACATTTGATTCCAAGCTGCAGTCGGTGGAAGATGAGAGGGAAAGGTACCAGTCTCTTGTGATAATCACTAATGATTTGGAATCTCGTCTAGATAGAGCACACAGTGATCTGCAGAAAAAGCAATCTCAGATTAATGTACTGGAAAGTGAACAAATTGAGCTCAATAAACAACTTGTTCTTTCCCAGGAGATGGTGATAGAGAAAGATAGAGTGGTAGAGGAACTGCAGCAGAAGTTACTGAGTGTGGAAGCAGAACTGAAAGAATTTCAAAAGAGTGTTTCACAGTTGGACTCTGAGATTTGGAAGTTAAGGGAAGAAAAGGCAGCTACTGAAATATCCTTGAAATCTGCTATGGAAGAGAAGAAATCTGTTGATTCTGCACTGGATGATCTCAAGAAAAACATGGGAAAAGTGGAAAAGACATTCAAGCAAATGAAGCAAGATCTGAACACTAAATCTTCAGAATGCCAACATGTACTTCAGGAAAAAACTGAATTACAGGACAGACTAGATAAATGTTTGGCAGACTTTGAGAAGGAGAAGCGTGAAATATTAACAGCTAGTGATCAGTCAGAGGAAAAACAAAAAGTTATTGATGACCTTCAACAAGCGAAGGTCAAGCTGGAATCAGAGGTCATATGTTTACAGAATGAGGTAGCTGTTTTGGATTCAACTAATAATTCAACAGTGAAAGAAAACCAGAAGCTACAGGAGCAGCTAGAGGAATTAAAATCTCAGTTGACTGAGGTTGAAACAAAACTTCAGGAGGCAAAAGTTCAAGTAGAAGAGAAGCAGCAAGCTGCTGAGGTTCCACAGGAAAGTGATAATCATGATCTCATAGAGGATAATGAAAAACTGAAACTGAAAATAACCTCCATGGAAAAACAACATCAGAAGGATATGATGAAACAAAGAGCTAGAGCTACAAAGCTGAGTTCGGATTTAAAAATTTTGCAGAATGAATTAACGGAGAGACAGAGCACTTTTGATTCTAACGTGGAGTTACTTACCAGTAAAATACGGGAAATCTCTGATGAGAAGACGCGTCTGGAGACGGAACTTGATTCAGCGCAGAGAAAGTTTGATGTTGGAATGGTTGAGCAGCAGGATCAAATGAAAACAATGCTGCAGGTAAGGTTGATTGAAATGTATCAAATCAGTTTAATTTATGCAAATTTGTGATTTTTCAATTTGAAATCCATCTGTGACTATTAATTTGCTCAACTGATGAAACATTCTACATATACATGTATACACAATTAAAAATATGGTTCATGGAGAGAAATATTAGCATGTAAAAGAAGTATATCATGAAACTTACGGATATTTCTCGCACTTGAATAAAAGTTGGTTTACGGTATTATACATGTAGATGACATCAGTGAGATAAGTTTGATAAGGGATTTTAAATAAAATGTTTATTTTGACAGCAAATGATTGATGAAGTTGAGTCATTGAAAATGGAGAAACAGGCTTTAGAGAGCCAGCTCCTTCACCTGCAGCAGCAGAGAGAACATCAGATTCAGGAGTACCAGCAGAGGTTGTCTGCCCTTGATTTACAGATCAGCCAACTCCAAGAAGTGGCCGCTTCAGCAGAACAAAAGGAAGAAATCAGTCAACAGCTGGCTCTGGAATTAGAGAAGGAGAAAGGGAAAGTGGAGGGTATGTTCATGAAATTTAATGGTGGTATGGAGAAATTTGAATATAAAGGGATTCCTACTTTCTTTGCAAAAAATACAGTGGATAGGTTATATGTCATGTTGGTATACTTTGACAGAGAAGGGCCAAGTTTGACGAAATGTCATTTTTAGTAATAAAAAAGTATAGCAAAACTTTGTTCTCTCAAACATAATGGAATGGGGAAAATTAGAATACATATAAAAGAAAAATTGGTAGGGACTCATTTGGACATATCCAATATATTTGAGATATTAATGTTGACAATCCGGAAGTACAACTGTACACTTACTTTATTCCACAAATAAAAGACATACATGTAGCTTTCTCCATGACATGGTGAATTTTTAATCAACACATAACATTTACTTTAGGACTGATTCAAACAAACAGTTCACTGAAGAGTCATGTTCAGCAGTTAGAGAGTACATTAGCAGAGAAGGAGACCAGCATAGAAGAAATGGATTCACAGATGGAGTCAAACAGAAAAGAATCCGAGGAAAAAGAGAGGGAGTATGTTACCAAAATACAACAGCTGGAGGAGGAACAAACAACAGAGAAAGAGGCCCAGAGGGAGCTCAGAAAACAGGTTAGTTTTCATTTCAGCAAGTGAAGTCAATCAGTAAGCAAGTGTGGTTATTAAATAATATTTTTGCAAAAAAAGGTGATTTACAGTTTTCAAAATGAAATGAATATACCCTGGTATATGTGTACAAAAATGTTTGCATATACATGAACAAGAACAATTACTGTTAAAATAGATGACATTTCTTATCTTTCAGATTGGTGTTAAAATTACAGAAAACAAAAAGTTAAGAAGGAATTTAGATTCCCTGAAAAATGAAAAAGAGATCTTACAACAGGATTTAGATCTCAAAACACAGGAATCTGATGACTTGAGATCTAAGTTAGAGAGCAGCAACAGCCTTCAGCAAGGAAAGACTAGTCAAATAAACCATCTGGAAACTGAAAATAAACACCTGCGACATGATTTAGAAAAAGCCAAAGTAGAACTTGCCGACAACCTTGCCAAGGAACCAATACTTCAAGAGCAAATTCAGGTTAATGAATTAAGCCTGTGTAAAAATTCTTTTTCTATATATATAGACATAATTTTTTATGGACAGAGGCAGGATGATACAAATAAATTATTGACAAAAACATTAATAATGTTAACACTATGTAAATTCAACAGAGTTTGCAGTGGCAGATCAGCCAGAAAAACAAAGAAGTGGCAGCCATTCAGCAGACGATGGAAATGACAGAGCAGCGACAGCAGGTGGAGATTGATAGTTTGAGGAAGACAATCGAAGACAACCAGTCAGAACTAGAAAGTCTGAGGGAGGAACTTGGAACAGCCCAGAGAGAGAAGGCAGAACAGCAGGCCCAGGTGACAGAGCTCAGAACCACACTCAAGGCCTCTGTCCAGCATCACAAGGTACAGTAGTAAAAATAGATTACCCTTACCAGATAATCTAGGAATCTGATATATACATGTAAAGGGCTTCAAAGATTTACCCATTGCTTTTTTTTTAAAGAAAGAGAGTCATTTTTATTTTTAAAAATTAATGATTTTTTGTGTGTCTTTATAACATTTAAAATGACAAATAATTAGAAAGGTCTTTTCCTGCAGCTCACAAAAAGAATAAATGACAATTCTGATTCGACAAAGGATGCTGGGACACAGGTAGAAAACCGTGACATCGTTATTCCACCTTTGCCCTTTGACCTGGAAGCTGTTGAGAGGTTACTTCAAGAAACATCTGCCAAGGCCTTGGCTAGCAAGTATGTTTCCAAGTGATATGATATCAATGTACATTTGTATACCTGTATTAAGATATACTGTATGTGTACATGTATATAAATCAAGCAGTCAAATTAATCATTTTTACATTGTGTGAAAAATATTGTTAATTGTGTTCTTAATGAAAAAAAAAGTTTTCTGTTACTTGCAATGATGCCAATATTTTAGTGAACTGTTTTGTCCTGTCAATAACATTTTATGAGTCAAAAAAACTGATACATGTCTCTATTTTAAAGACCTTTGGACAATCTACAGAGCTGTTTGAGTTCACTTCGATCCGAGATCAGTGGTTTACAGAAACAGATAGAAATCCATACTACAACAGTGGCTGAGTCAACTCAGAATTGGGGGTAAGCTTTCACAAACCTGAAAAACACTTTTAAGAAGAGCAAGAGGAATAAACTTAGTGGAGATCATAAAAACCTTACTTTACAATATCTGAGAAAGATTGAATACCACCAGTTTTATAGATCCTGCCAAAAAGCAGTTAAATTTCTGTCAGGTCCATTTTATGTTATAAACCAAAAAAAAAAAACTGTATCAGGCTGTATGCAAATAATATACATAGTTCAAGTCAGTATTCCAAAAATATTCATTTTAAGGATTATAATTGATTAAGGTGTAAATTTTATGTCAAAAGATCCATGTAGATGCAGCTTGATTTTAAATATTGATCAGAAGCGTTTGATTAAAAGTACTCTACCAGTTGATGGGTGCTTAATAATTGTGTGGACTTTATACTTCATTTGGTAATTGTAAATGTCATGTCTATTTTGAAATATATGCTCTTTATTTTAATAGATCTGTAGAGGTTACAGTAAACGAGGTGTTGAATGCAGTCAAAACAATGAGTTCAACTCACAATGGATCTGTTGGCATCAATTCTATTTCTGCAGCAGGGGTCATGGACGTCTAAAACAAGGGTCAAGGACATATATTTCTGCATTGAAGCAAGAGTCAAGAGCATATTGACCATAATTCAAGTGTTTCTTACACCTTACAGAAAACATTCAGAACATTTTAATTCCGTTTATTTACTTCCTTCAGAAGGAGTTCCTTGTTTTTGTTGAGTGTTTTGCCAAACATTAATTAAGCTAGTCTTTCATCAATATGGTATGGGAATGCACTTGGGTCTTCAGTTGATGAAATTTCATAATTTGTATTTTCTTCAGTTTCTTTTTTTTATATTCTTTCATGTAAATGTTCAAATTATTTTCAATGATTTATTATAGTATTTCTCATGCACTTTTTTTCAGCGGCAATCAAAAGCTGGCATTCTTTCAATAATTCATGAAAATTTGCTAATAAATTTTTGTACATCTCAAATAACAATTTGTGAGAATGTATGATAGCTCCAATGTGTTCATATGGAAAAAAATAGGGCTAAAATAACTAAGCACATGTGCATCTACAATATATTTAAAGTATTTAATTCTTTTTTGAGATTTTCAAACTTGTGAACATACTGTCAAGATATGTGTATTATTCACAGTAAGTTGCGTCTCTAATTTGCTTACCACCAATTCAACTTACATGTATAATTTCCTTTAAAAGATGTCTGTATTAGCAGAAGAATGTATCTATCTATTAATTTTTCTATTAATTTTCATTGAATAAAAAAAAAATACCTAAAGAAAAAAACATATTTTATAACAGGTATAACTCATTTCTTTTATTTACTGAAAATATTGATAAAATTGATATGGTATGCCAACTTTATATGGTATTACATGTAGTAAAAAGCCAATCTAGGTCTCACAATTTGTTCACATGTAGACAATTTTGTATTATAAATTAATCAGTCTATACTGGTACTTTGGTCTGGAAAATCCACAACTGCATATTATTATTATTATGTTATTATTGCTATGTTATTATACATTGTTGGTAACTAATGGGCTTATCAGGAAACCTTAAGATTAATTAACTGACCGTGGACTAACCTATAATTAAACAAGTGTTAATGAATAGAATACCTTAGGGTTACTTAGAATGGGTTTTATTTAAACTTAATAAATGTACTTTGCATATCACAGAGTGTTAGTGTGAACACCCATTTCTGTTGTGCAATAAAATGAACACTATGGCAATTGCTACGAGTTATGTCACCTTTCATTGAATTTGTTATCTGTATTGGGTTTTATATGATACATCTTCAATGTGCATGATAACATGTACAGCTTTTGACAGATTTGTTAATATTTTCTCTGTAATTTTTGTATTATTTAATCTCCCTTGTCTGTATTATGTATTTTTTTTTCTCATTTCTTGATACAACCTTTACGTATTTTACATGCTTTGCATATTTTGACAGTGGTTAACATTTTATTATTTTATTGACTTCGTTATCAGTTACTTGTATGTGTGAAATGGACCATCAATCTTAATTACAAATAAACCAGACATACACTTGTTAATATCCATTTCTTGTTCTGTGTTGGAAATACTTTCATTTATTAATTCACAGCAGATGCTAAAATCATCACCATTCTGATTCTGTAAACTAGTAAAAGATTAAAAATTCAAAACCTTCTTATCATTATTAAATAAAAAGTCAGTTGTAATCTGCTTGGCATTTTTTAATTGCCATTTCAATCAAATAAATACAGAAATTACATTTCAATATCCTATTAATTTGCATGTAATATACCCAATTTAAAATAAATATGCTGTATTGAAATGATGTATACAATTCCTTATACAGTCATGTGAATCAGCTAAGTTCTAAATTGTCCATCTGAGTGCTCAAATCATCTGTCTCTTTCTTTCTCTTGTGAGGGGGTTTTATAGTTGCCTGTAATAAATGATAAACAAATTCATTTGCAACATTTTACATGCACACACGATATACCTGGTACTGTATACAGGGAAAATTTCGCCCCCGTTTTATTTTCGCCCCTTTCACCCTACCCTCATTTGGGCGAATTTAAAACAGGGCGAATTCAAAGAATACAGTATAATTTCTTAAACAAAACTATGAGTGGGCGAATTTAAAACTGGGCAAAATTGTTTGCAAGTGTGAAAGGGCAAAAATAAAATGGGGCGAAAATAACCCTGTATACAGTAATTAATGCATTTCATTTTTCAGTTATCGTACTTCCAAATCTTCAAATATCCACACAATAACAAATATTTCTTCTTTGTTGAGGTTTTAAGTGTAATTCATTCTAGGTATATGTATACTCTATTGAAAGTATCCCAAGGGACGGTCTTTCTATTTCCATCAAACCCATGACATAATAAGAAACCTGACGGAACACTCAGTATGAAATTAACCATTATAGAGGAACATACAGAAAATTGGCTGCAATAATGTAGCCCTCTCCGATTTTTTTAATCTGATATTTTCTGGAGAGGGCTACAATTCCACCGCATCTCCATAATGGTGCAAATATATTTTTTAAATACAGGCGACTGCAGGCAAAATAAATTGTTTTTACATTTAACTCATTTCTAATAAGACGAAATTTTTATTGACTGTCAACAGCATAGCCCTTTAAACGCGAAAACCAGGTAAAATAAATCTGCGTGTTTACCAGTCGCTCTCCTCAGCAGCCATGACAGTTCTCGCGTGATGTACTGAGACTTGCGCTTGAGCTTTAGAATAACTTGATAAAGCAAATGTCGGTGTTGATAAATGATTGCGTTATAAGGTATCACTAAACATCGATAAATAAAACCATTCCATGTGATATTTTTTCGTAAACAGCGATATTTATGCTAAAAATAAGGGAATTCCTAAAGATCCGCTCCCGAATTCTCATTGGCTGTCCTAAAATGATCAAGGTCAGTAAACATGGCGGATAAATTCAAGTTGTGATGTTGACATAAAAATAACCGATATATGAAATGTTCTGTATATTTTTGGATCGATTTATGTCTTGCATAACTACATTTCTGGAGTTCAGGTAAGAAATGCTAGTAAAATAGCCATTTACTAATAATTTGAGCCGAAATCTGTGCGGTAGTGAATCACTCCCACACTTGCACCATTACAGAGATCCTAAGGAGTTGTAGCCCTCTCCCAATTAAAAAAAAAAAAATTCGGGAAAGGGCTACATTATTGCAGCTAACAGAAAATCAGTTCATGAGAATTTTTAAACTCTTAAATGGGTTATCTGTTCCTAAAAATCACTAGATAATATACAAGTATCTAGGTATATATACATGTACGTATATATATATATATATATATATATATATATATATATATATATATATATATATATATATATGTCAGATACATGTATTAATGCATACAACAGTTAAGATTATGGACCCAACACTTTATTCTTTAAAACCTACCATCCATTGTAGTGGACGATCTCCTGCTGCCATTACACAATCGACCAATGAGAAGATAGCGATTCGTTCCTGCACACACTCTCCCCCCTCTTTTTCTGGATTCCAAATTAAGGTCATCACAGACTGCTTCTGTTCTTTTATAAAGATTTTATCTTTAATGTCCAGTTTCTGAAAATAAAACAGGTTAATTTATCAATATGATAGTGATGTTAGATGATCCATATCTTTTACTCACAGATTCATTTTTTCATCCTACATACTTTAAAAAAAATAGCAGATTCATTGCCATCAAATCAGTGACAATAAAAAATGTGCAGTCAAATAACACTTTGAAGAATGAATTTTATTTTGCCATAACAAGTATCTTTATAGAATGAAGCTTTCACAAACTTACATCACAGTACACTCGTTTGACAACACCAAACTTCATGATGAAGACATCAAAAGCCTTGTCCAACACACCCATCACCATTGCCCTCTCCTCAAATGGACCAGCTTCCTACAATATTACAAAAACATAATGACAATACCGGTAATATCCGTAACCTTCTTATTAACCTATTAATGCAACAATTGTTTTTAGAGAATAATTTATCATTTCTCTTAACACTGGCCTAATTTCCTTTAAGGCTATTGACCATTACCCTTCCCAGTGTCTTCAACTTGTAAATATACAAACAGAAAAACTAATCGTCCAAAATATTTATTTGCAATAAACTTCAAAAATGTTAAATGCCTTTGAGTAGTAAAATTACCTTGACAAATATGGAGAAATAGAGATCTACACTTAGTTCTTGCACTCGTTTAGAGTTGGTCTTTTTCTCATTACATTGTAGTGCCTGCTTGTTAATCTGCTGTGGAGTCAGACTAATCTCTGGACTGTAGCCTATATATACAAGATGTATCATTGAAAAATTAAGGAATTTCATTACCCCTCCTTGACATCTTTACATTTAAGAAATCAAATGCTGTGAACATTATCTTTTATTTTAGTATCTTTAAACTGTAAACACCTAACAATATTCACAACAAGAGAGATGGGTTTTTATTATTACAAAAGCACACAGATTTCCTGTATGTCTGTCTGTGACTTATGTTACCTAGCGCAGCTGATAGTGTCCTGTGAACAATGACATCAGCATATCGTCTGATGGGACTGGTGAAGTGGGTGTATAGTGGAACATTTAGGGCATAATGTCTGTACAGTTCTTCATCCTCAAGGCATCCAGTGCAAAAGTATACAGCATTCTGAAATACACGTACTTTATAAAATTAATGGAAGATCACTAATACACATGTATATGCAATACTCATCTCTATTCATGATCAAAGAAAAGTACATTAACATCACTGACTTTCTGAACAGGAAAATTACTGTATACGGGGAAATTTTTGCCCCGTTTTATTTTCGCCACTTTCGCCCTACTCTCAGTTGGATGAATTTAAAAGGGGCAAATTCAAAGAGCACTGTAGTATTTCTTAAACAGAACTGTGACTGGGTGAATTTAAAATGGGGCAAAATTGTTTGCAAGTGTGCAAGGGCAAAAATAACATGGGGCGAAAATAACTCTGTATACAGTAGTAAACTTTTATTTCGGTGCAAATATTCATTTTATATTCAAAATGCTGTGCCACATCATTTTATATTAATCTTGAGGCCTGCCATACCTGCATTGGCTTGGAGCACATACTGACAAGCACTTGCATTCTAGCACCTGAAAATTCATCATTTCCAAGGTAACTCCACAGAGACCTCTGAAAATAAATAAACAACTGCAATACCAAAGCAAACCTTCTTCTTGAATGAAAATCAAAATAGAATAAATACAATTAATATGTAAATTTTGGGCATCATACACACATTTCAAAAAACTAACCTGAAGATCACCTGCACTGTCAATGTCAATAGGAACACCTAGACTGGCACAAAGGTCTCTCTAAAGGGTAAAATACAAGTATATTACTTCTTCTGTACACAAAATGTATCAATAAAAAGAAATATGGGTTTGTTTACAAAGAAACTGACCATGTCCTCCATCATTTTAGATTTGGGTGGTGGGTGACGCCTCAGCAGAGATTGTTTGTCAAACACTGAATATGTCTTATGAGCAACAGCCATATTGGCAAGCAACATGAACTCTTCTACCAATCTAAATATAACGAAACATATACAAAAGGTTGTCAACAAGCTAAGCATAGGATTTCCCCCCCAATGATGAAATCAAATGGTAGTTTGATTTTTGTTTGATTTTGATGGTATTTTCAAATGGTATTAAATGGTACAAACTTAATTTAAAAAGAAATTCAAAATGAAAACACATTATATCTGCAAGATCCTTTTATATTCTGCATGTTAATAAAAAAATTTAAAATCTACAAAAGGCTACTTCAGAAGACTCCATTCATTGGTAATCCTTACAACATTTTCTTTTACCTGTTACTATCTTTCTGTTGGTAGATACTGTAGCCATTAGGAAGTCCTGTTTCATCATTCAGACAGAATTGTAACTTGACCTGGTCCAGTCTCAATGCACCACTATCCATTCGCTGCTTCCGAAGATTCACTGCTATCTGATCATTGAAATCGTAACTTCAAACATTCATTATCTTAATTCCAGAAGTTTTATAAATTGCATAAACAAGCTAGATCTTGTATCTTGTATCTCAATACTTCTTTTTATAAATCTTCAATAGAGAAGGACTCACTTTGTGAAGATTTAGAGTTCTGTCTTTGATTTCTTGAACAGAGAATTTCTCAGATATGGGAGGCAACTCTTCCTTGGTCCAATCTTTATCTGGTTGTTCGATAAATCCTTGAACATGTTCATATGCCAGTTTACAACAAGACTTGATCACAGATCGACCAAACCACTCTTCATATATCTGTCCATTAAAGAAAAAAGCATTAATAGATTTAAATAAAAGAAAACTATTTTATATTTCAGTACATTTTTTTTGAGACAAGCTGCAAAATTGTTCCTTTTTTTGCCAATGGAAAATTGTTATTCTGAATGTGCAAAAATGTGTCTGATAATGACCTCTCCTTTCTCTGAAATTTTCCAAACCACAGAAAATGTTAATCTATCCTCATCTGGATTCAAACTACAAAGCTCCTCACACAGAATTCTGGGTAACATAGGAATTACCTGTAAAAAAAAAAAAATAAATGTCTGTCCTGAAAAATTTCTATATACATGTACCAGCAATCAGATTCTATATGTTTTTAATTAGATGCAAGATAAAATAAAAACCAGATGCTCTCATAGTTCCATCTTGAAATAATCTAATTCTGTAGTTGAAGAAAGCCTCCTTTAATACTGGAAGGCAAATAAACAATCATACATTTATTTGTAAAATCAATAATGATTGATTAATAAAAAATTTACCTTTTGCACCAAATACACACTAGTAGCTCTATGACCTGCTATTTTATCTAGAACTGTTCCTTCTTTCAGGAAGTAACTGACATCAGCTATGTGAACTCCCACCTCATAGTTACCTAGGCAACAGAGGTTGAAAATCATAAAGTTAACATCTTTTCCAAAAATCAATTTTTGCAATTTACATGTACATATGGTATGATAAATATACAAACATTTTACAAAGTAAAAAGAATGGTATCAAAGATACAGAGGAAATCTTACCATCAGGGAGCTTCTCGCAGGACAGCGCATCATCTAAATCCCGTGCTGTAGAGGGATCAATGGTGAACACACACTGGGATCGGAAATCCCGTCGGGATTCATACTCCTCTGCTGGAATCCTCCAAGGCAGACTATGAACAGGTAAACTGTCAATGGCCTAGTCACAGAAAGATTCTAGTAAGTCTGTTGTATTTGTTAACCCCTATCCATCAGAATTACTGAGACACACATATTTAAAGAAAATACAGTACAGAGTATTTATTCTATGTAATGGATCTTCCAAAACAGAATCAAATTCCTTCTGATAAAAAACTTACAACATACATGTAACTACCTCTTTAGATTTTGTACGTGCTGGTGAAACAAATAATTCTAGCTTGAACATTTCAAATATTACAATTTGTTTTTAGTGCTCTTGAAATGTCAATGATTTTTTTTCAGTACCTCTTGAGGAAATTCTGAAGAATCAACATCATTCTCAATCAGCATTCCCTCAGTCTCTGGCTCAATCTGTCCTGCCTCTCCCAGACTTTTCATAAGTGACCTTAAAAAAAAAAGGACCTTATATCAGTCAACTCTTGCTAACATACATGTAGAAAGTAACAATGGCTTACGACTGCAAAAGACCCTAGAGACCTGCATGCACTTACAGTTTTTCATTCAGTTTCATGTATTATCCTAAAATCTTTTTTCTGAAAGACCTCGGCTTGTTTTTTTCAAGCTTATTATAAGAAAATTATCTCGTTTTATCCATTTCAAAAGGAATCAACCAAGTTATCCCCCCACCTCCACCCAAACATAATTCTCCATTTCTCATTGTTAACCTGGGGTAATCTCCTTATTTAATTAACTAATTAATTTTTCATAGGAACAGAGACTTACCCAAATGCCTGCATGTTATCTTTCCATTCTATTATTCTGCATATGAATAAAGTGTTCTTGTAGTCATCTGGCCTTTCATAAAAATCTGTAAAATATGAATAGACACTTTTGCTATAAAATAACGACTTTATAGATATGGTCAGAAAGGTCTTTACAGCACACCAAAATCTTAATTACCTTTCGGACACTCTGACATTGGAATTCTCATCCGAGGCATTCTACTGTCGATGGGCTTGAAAAAGGCCCAATTTTTGTTTTTGTCAGTCATTAAACTGATATTTCCTGTACAAGCTCTGTTGTTTCTTTTCTCCAGGATGGCCACTACCTTCAAGTACACGTAAAACAATATAAGAAGATAAAACATTAATAAATCTTTTACTGAAACAAGTTCATTTAATTGATTTTCAACATATTTCAATTTCTCTTCTTTTAAATACATGTTTAACATACTTTGGTATAAATTTTACCATTACCCATTTAAATGCATCTCAAAAAATGTCTTTTGACAAACTCATTTCATAACAAGTCAGACCTTTCAATTACTTTCAGACACACACACAAATCACCCCCCCCCCACCCACCCTTTTATTTCTTACCTTTGCTGTTGGTTGTAGCAGTTTGCTCTCCAAATGTTCATCTTTCTTCTCTGCTTCTTCATGAAATAATTTTTTGATGACTGGGCTATTATTAGTAAGAGCCCCATGTACAGAGAGGTATTTTTTCTGTGGAGTGGCTTTAGGAGTGTTTTTCTGACTGTCAGCTTGGCTGCCACTGGCATCTTTGTCCCCACTGTTGCTATTCCCAGTGGCACCTATGGTATCAGTGACAACATCAGATGTATCAACAACTGAGGAATTTTTCTCATCACATTTTTGTCTGTGTTCTTCTTCCAGATCTGTTAGGTGTTTCTCATGCACCTTAAAATTTAATATTCATAAATAAACAAAATAATGGATCATTCAAGAATTTCTAAAATATTGAAGTCTTGACAACACTAAAATCCTTTGATTGGAATCAGCAAGCTTTAGGGGTACCAACAAAATTATTTAATTCAATAACACATATATCAACCACTGAAAATGAGGAAATTATTATTATAATAATAATAATTTTTGTGATTTTCTATACCAATTTCTCTATATGGGGATTATTTTTGTGAAGGCAAGAAAAACAGAGTATGATTTAAAAGATGTCATGCTTGCTGAAATATTTGCAATATTTTCGAGATATTTTTCTTACTGCAAATTTAAAAAAAAAACTACCCCCTCCCAAACATTTCTACATTAAGAGTAGATTCAGACAGCTGTGATTATAACACTGACCCTCCATTCCAGCTTGTCTTTGAGCTGGACGACCACGATGTCCCCGTGGAATGCTCGGTTCCTGTCCTTCATCCCTGAGATAAGAATGTCCCTCTTTCCATCCTGTGTAAGACAACAACAACAAAATTATCATCTGTTCTCTCTAAAAATATTAATAGCCAGTGCAAGAAGATACAACAACCATTGTACATATTTAAATACAATGTATACATTAAATGTGAATTGTAAAATTACAACGATTCACATGCTCACCTAGCAAACACAAACCCAAGGAAAAATAGTCACATTTAATGTATACATTGTATATCCACTAGCATGTTTATATAACATTGGTGTTGCTTCAGTTCAAACACTGTTACTTGATATACATGTATACACCTTTGTTAGGTCCGTCATGAAAATCCCATTTTCAGAAGAGAGAGTTTCACCATTAATTAGATATATTGGTTCATGAAATACAATTGGTAAAGTTCTGCTCTTTCTTAAGAATCAATCTCATACACTACATGTAAAATCTTGCACTCACAGGATGGTCTATAAAGCACTCTTCATAATTCTTCACATTTATCCTAAACTGTCCCTGAAATTATAAAAAAAAAAAAATATACAAATTTAAAAAAACTTCCATAAACAAAGCTTTTGGAACTCGAACTATAAAATTTTTACGAAATCATTTAGTTTGGAATTTTCATATTACTCATTAATTTGATTATCGTTTCCTAGATTTACTTACCTCAAGCAGTTCCCCTCGTTTCAGTCCAGCAGAGATTTCCTCAGCTGACCAGTAATGCTCAAACAAACACTACAAACACAAAAAATGGAAACTTATGACTAAGTATAGACACTATATCAATTGTCTTTGTGGGTGTACTCACTGAGTTAGTAAATACTTCTAACTTGTTCTAAGAACTTTTTAAAACTGCTAATTGACTTCTACAGTATAAAACAGATATTCTGAGACCTATTAAATAATCCTGAGAATTCAACGTCTACTGGTTATTGATTTTACAGTATTTAACTAATACAGAGATACTGTACCTGGGTTTTAGCTGACTGTCCTCTATTGTTCTGTGGCTGTCCTGAAATTTGAACACAATATACAGTTATAAAGTTTGAATACAATATACAGTTATAAGTTTTAATTCTTTTTTCCTCAATAAAAGTACATGTATGTATTTAGTCACTAGTGAACTTCACTATATGTTATTTAATTTTCGTTTCAATGTGTGGCAGTCAGACAGGTTTGATAGCTAGTGGCCAGATAGCCCTGTTGGCAGAGCACCTGACTAGTGATTTAGGGAGCCCATCGAGGTTCGAATCCTGGTCTACTCATCTTATTTTCTCCCTCGCCAGTTACAAGTGCAATAATTCTCAGTGCATCTTTCTGTTTTAATTGTACATCAATTTGACAAACAAACTCCAGAAATGTCTACAATTGACCTTTTTTTATTTTCTTAAATGATTGATTTTAGGAGAATCTAAAGGAAACATAAAAGTGCAGTAAAGACAAACCTTTATTTTTTTTCCCTCTGTTATGGCCCTTCCCTTGTGCATTATCTCGTTTCTCCATTAAATCTTCCTTTATGCTCTCCTGTAAATTCCTACCACTCCCAGGTCTCTCAGACCTTCTTCCTTTCTTTAACTCCTCTCCATTCAAACCACCATTTCTACTTTCGTTTTCATCTGAACCCTCCTGCAAGTTCTCACTATTTGGTCTACTTTCATTTTCCTTATCATACCTTACAAATCTTCTGTTTCTTGGCTTTTTCTTCTTGCCATTTTCATCCTGTTGATTTTCTGAGGCATTAACCATTTCCTGGTTTTCTCTTTCCTTTTGTCTACCTTTTCCACTTTTAGGCCTATCTACTTTATTAGTAGAATCATTAGGAGGTTTATTACTTTCTTCTTTTTTACCTTTTCTTTCATTTTTCTGCCCTCTCTCTGACATCTCAGGCCCCCCTGAACCTTGTCTTGACTTCCCACTTTTTGGCCTCTTCTCCTTCTGACCCTTCACCCTGTTACCTTTATTTTCAGACTCTATACTCTGAGGTTCCTGAACTAAAGAATTAGCTGCCTGGTTATTTAATAATTGACTATCATTTTGTCCTTCACTTTTTTCAAACTTTTCAACTTCTATACCACTTTCATTTTTCTTCTCACTGGGTTTTATATCCACTGGAATATCACAACCACTGTTCAATGCACTGTCCCTGAGATCCTCCACTAACTTTGGATACACACTTTCATTAGTCAATGCTTCCTTCCCTACAGATCTCTGTGCTGACTCTGCTATCATTTCACATACTTTCTTTTTGTTTGGTTTATCAATTTTCATATCTTCTTGATCCATCTATAAAGAAATATATTATTTATTACTCGTATATCCTATCTCCCCCATTGAGAACCTCTTATTTTACTTTTGGGACCAGACAGTTCATATTGAAAACCTAAAATAATATACAATTATGGACTCTTTTGGTGGTGAATATGGTTTGTTATTCACCAGAAAAATAACTGGCCATTACAACCATTGTTTTCAACGTTGTTCAAAGTATTGATTGGGACGTCACAATGACTGACCCTCCAGTGAATACGGCTTCAAACTGGGGCTGGGACGATATATCGAGATATCGATAATATCAATTCAATGTGAGGATGATACGCATATCGATACGTATGAGGAAATATCGAAATATCGTCAAAAAAATTCTGACTTGTGTTTTTCTTTGTTTACTTAACATTTTGGGTTAAATCTATAAAATAAATATGCTAAATATAAATATAAATATGAAATACATAAAAATAAATACCATTTGTGTAAAATGATTTTGTTTTACAACAGATATACAACTTCTTTGAATAAATTATTCTTATTTGTGAAGAAAAAACATTTTATAACCAATTCAACATATTGTGATACATATTGTATCATGGCTCAAATATCGTGATACGTATCAATATAAAAAAAGTTGTATCGTCCCAGCCCTACTTCAAATCCTGTGAATATGTAGTACATTGTATTATGAACCGTTTGCATTTGTATAGATTATATAGGGAATATTTATAGACTATATAATAATGACTTTTAAATCCTTAAGTGAAGCAAACTTTTTATACACTCCAAATTAAATAGCTCTACTGATGAAAATGAAAGAATGGTGAAACAGACACATCCAGCAACTTTCACACAATAACTGAGGAGAGTTAAGTTTTCAATATATAATGTTTGAATATGCAGACTTGTGTTTTCTTCACACTTTACCAGATCTCTTGGTGATCTTCTCCTGTGTTGCCTTAGCAGCTGAGTATAACTGCCCACATTTTCCCTTGATTTGTTGGCCTTCTTTGATTTGGATGAGACACCTTCCTCTGGCTTGCTTTGTAAATCCTCTCTTGATTTGTTGGCCTTAGTCTTTGATTTGGATGAGATGCCTTCCTCTGGCTTGCTTGGTAAATCCTCTCTTGATTTGTTGGCTTTAATCTTTGAGGTGGACGAGACACCTTCCTCTGTATTGCTCTGTGAATCTTCCATATCACTTCTCAGTTTGCCACATCCAAGATCATTTTTTCTATTTGCAGCCATTTTGGTTTTAATCTACCTGTGTGCCTGTAGATAAGTAGATAAGGAGCATATGATCTTATTTATATTCAAGCACTATATATTATATAGCATATTAATTACAGGTAACTCTTGATGGCTCGAACTTCGATCTCTCGAAGTTCTTGATCGCTCGAAGTGAGTCTCCGGTCCCGAATTTTTTCACTATATAACTAAGCAAATTTACTCTTGATTTCTCGAACTCTTGATCTCTCGAAACCCTTGATCCCTCAAAGTCAAAATGCAGTCCCGCTATGCATATTCTATTAGAATTTACCCTCGATACCTCGAAGTGGCTATGTGTATACAAGATTATATAATTAGCACCTTTATCTGGACATTTAAATGGCCCCAGGCAGAAGACGCGGGTCTCGAGGAACAGGATGTTTATTCAGGTGACACTTATGATGCAAGGTGATAATTAATTTATAATGAATCCTATTTTGCCTATATGCTATTAAAATAATTATCATCGACTGTCTTACGATAATTTAGAGATGCAGTGTCATTGAAAAGTAGTAATTTATTAAAAGACAAAACACTAATTTAATTTTTATTTCGAGTCAGTATCAAAGTTAAACGAAATATGAAAAAAGCAGAAACAGCCTCAATGTCAATATGACGACTATTATTGGACAAATACTTACAGAACTGCGATCAATGATCATGTTTGGAATAGTCAATGCTATGTACAACGCTGTAAAATGTCGTTTTCATGTAACGAACGCGTAGTATGATGTCCGTATTACAAAGAATAAATAAATATACATGATATGACGATATACATTTTTTGCTTTACTCAGTTTAATGAAATATTCATCTGAATTACGAAAAAATATCGTTGTTTTATAAAAACCACGTGTAAAAGGTTAGCACTGCATGAAAATCATTATTACCGGTAAGACTAATTTTAAAACCTGTCAACAAACCCGGAAAATTCCGGACTCTTGAAAACTCGAACTCTTGATCTCTCGAAGTTTTTCCTTGGTCCCGCGGACTTCGAGGTTTCTCGAGTTACCTGTATATATAATTGACTGTCATACTCTTTCTACATTCTCTTTAGTTAGTTTTCCAACTTTTCCCACAAGAAGATTTTTTTATACATGGGAAAATTTGAACAAAAGCCCTTTGAGTTCATCTTCGTATGTTTTTGTTTTTGTTTTTTGTTGGTTTGGGTTTTTTTTGTTTTTTTTTTTTTTAAATTTTTTTTGTTTGTTTGTTTGTTTGTTTGTTTGTTTGTTTTTTTTTTTTTTGAGGGGGGGGGGGGGGGTTGTTGTTGTTATAACGCAGAACTTTCGCAAATAAACACGAGGCTTATCCGTATAAATTAGCATGTTATGATAATAATTCATATTTAAAATTCTATTATTAATGGAATAATAATTTAGCAACCGATTTATAATAACATCATTTCAGTTCAATTTGAACGGATTAGTTTTTAAGCACGAAACATTATGCAGAGTTTTGGGGGTTGTGCGGGGATACGGGTAAATTACCGGTTACCAGGATCTTGCTGTTTTATCAGTAAAGCTTTACATGACGATATCCATGTCTCCGGTATCCATGTCTCCAGAATCAGATTGAAATTAATAAAACACTCTATATTTAGAATGGTAAATAATATGCTTCATTATAAAATCAACCTTTAATAAAATACACAAAATTTTATTACAGGATGGGGGGGGGGGGGATAAGTGTAAGTTCATTGTCTCGACTAACAACAATCTACTTACATGAACCATCTGGCAAAACCCCACTCAGACGGAAAATATTACGTGATCAGCAGTTGATCACGCCACTTACATGTAACTGTATGTGCATGCATAATTATGAACATGTCCAGTAACATCTATACCAGGATCACGCGTAGGTCCCTGGCTTAACTATCGCAAAAGCTGGAAGTTAAATCTAAATTCTATTCATAAAAACAACTTATATCTATCTACGATATATGTTATTTTGGAATTTTTTTTAGTGTTAATCAATAGAACGACAATTATTCATCTCATTTAAAAAAAATCGGATTAAATCGGCTAAAATGATAATGAAAATGTCTATGTACACCATGAACAGTGTATGTACATTGATTAACCATAGATATCTATTGATACCCATGTTATACTTCTTAACCATTCAATTTCACAAAGTAAAACTTAATTTTTATTCTTAATTGTTATTTTACTCATGATTAACAAAAAATAATAGTTTATATTTATAACTGGTTATTATATGGGATAAGACTTATATATATTTCTATTTGGTTATTTGATAGGATTAGATTTAGTTATATATATTTATGATTGGTTATTTAATGGGATCAGTGAATCAAGTTCTTAGTTCCCGGCCTGTGGATTAGTTTCCGGCCTGTGGGGTCTGTGATCGATGTGTTTGCTGTATATGAAAAAAAAAATGATCGTAAGAAGAGGATGAAAGGCGTATAGAAGATTCCAATTTATTTTAAACCTATCTCAATGCGATTTTTCTTTTCTTTTTTTGGGGGGGGGGGGGTAGCGCATCGACGACGCCCCATAATTTATCAAATATATTATTTTTTAAATATGCTATTAAATCCATGTTAATTATAAGAATTGTGAGTTTCTGTTTTTATTTAACTTTTTTATAATTTTCCGCCCCCTCCCCGAAATCCTGGATCCGCCCATGTGATGTATAACGCTTTTTTTAAAATTATATAATTAATCAATCTGTTTAAAGAGTAATTATTCAATGTTTGGTCTGAAAGAAAGCGTGTCATTTCAATAATAATTTCATTATCACAGCCAAGAGCGGAGTTCTGGTGGGTGGATTTCGTTTGAACAGATTGTTGGATATTGCTTTAAATATAAAAAAATAAGAAGAAGAATTTTTGACCAAATATTGCAGCATGGACCACATTGACGAATTCTAAAATACAATATACTTTACAATGAGTTCTGTACTTAATTTAGCGTGGTCAGGAGCTTGTATATTGAATCAAAACGAAACATGTTTTCATGGACAGAACAACTGTGGGACTACTGATTTCAGAAATTAAAAAACGAAGAGAAATAATTCATAATTTGGATCCGGTTTCGAGAGAAACATGACAAAATCGTAGTACTCCAGCAAGTTTAACTTTTTTTCTCTCTAGATGATCGGAAAGGTACTGGTAACACATTCAAGGTTCGATAATAAATTAAACATCTATGAAATATTTTTGTCACCTACATTCTTGTATATGACGTATATATCTCAGTGTGTGTCTGTGTGCGTGAATTAAACATATATTTTTTTTTACAGTATAACTTGCATCAAAACTTTAAGCATGACAGATCATACCACTTGTTGGAAATTGTCCCTCTGTGTTAAAATGAGCGTAAAAGTAAACATGAATCTAGATTTTTACAGAAATTATTTAGCTCACATAAACTATTAACTAAAGTGGGTTTTTCTGATTACCCGTTGTCGAGTGTCCGCCCGTCCATCTGTCTATCCGTCCATAACCCATTTCTGATCACAAGGTTAATTTCAACTAAATTTACCACAAAGTATTTTGGGTAAAGGGGGGTCCTTTGAAGGGTCATACCCCTCCGAAGGGGAAATAGTCAAGAAAAGGCAAAAACAGGGCTGGTCATCTAAAAATAACACTTGGTCAGAAAAAAATGAAACATGTGAGAGCTTCCAGACATGGTGTAGCTTTAAATTTCTTCAGATTATGGCTCCCTTGGACAGGATGGAACTAGAACAGGGGATCAAAGTTTTATATCGGAATGTATAGGAAAAAATCTTAAACATTTTTTACGAACAGTAGTAAGTCGGGACTTTGATTAGTAGCATCCTCGAGTAATCAAGCTTGAAAGCTTATCCTCACGGGATGTGCGGAAAGAGGGAGGGGCACAATAGGGTATCATTATCTTCTCAAGAACAAGAGGGCAGTGATAAATCATATTAATATGTAAGCATCCTCGAGTAGTGCAAAATTAAGTTTATCAAATCAAATAACCCCGTGGGTAGAGTGGGATTGCAAGAGGGGATCAAATGGAATGAAAAATCTTCTTCACAAGAACATCAGGGATCCTTAAATAATCAAGTCGTTTGGGCATGTTTTAAATTTGGTTTGTCAAATTCTGGGGGAGGGGGTAGGATGGAACCACACCAGGGAATCACAGTTTTCCTTGATTATAGTTATATTTATATGCAAGCATCCTCATATAGTGCAGACTCAAGTTTGTTCAACTCTTAAAGGGAATGCTCCCCGGGAGGGGGACAAAAAAGGGGTATCAAAATTTAACATTGGAGTATACGTTATTATTACTTAAACCTTTTTTTCTCAAGGGCTACGATTATTCATATTGATGTCAAAATATCCTCATATAGTGCAGATTCAAATCCCACGGAATGCAGAGGGGGCCCAAGAATTGGTTCAAAGTTTTACACAGGAATGTTTCACAGGGATGTTTAGGGTAGAATCTTCTAAACAAACAACAGGGCACAGGCACATAAACCTTGTAAATGAACGTTGATGTTGTAAGGTTAACGTCAACAAGTGCATGGCCGGTGCAACAAGGCCATAATTTGTCAATTTAATTTGCGAGCATCCTTGGATCCGTCTTCCCAAATAAAGGGTTTCTGATCCACTCCGCTCCACATATATGTCTCGGATCTGCAGACTCAAATTAGTTTGAATCATGAGCCTTTAATATAGGGATAGGGCTGGGATCACATTGTACATCTTGCAATGTACAGGGGGGGGGGGGATTTTAAAGAATATTATTCTCGGAACAGCAAAAGCCACATGTTAGTCATATTAATTTTGAAGCATATATCCCATGTTGTAAGGATTCAAGTTTGATAAGTCCTGACCCCTCGGGGATATACCGGAGACATGATATAGGTCCCCATTTTTTCTTAGGGATGAAGACAATAGGGGAAAATTCAGATGACGATCAGAACAGCAGCACCAAGCATCCTCAGAAAAGTATAATGGCCCATGTGCCGTTTGTTAAGTCTTTTCCTATGTTTCCGAATG